TTCTCTAAACACGTGTTCTATAATTACACTAAACATGTATGCGTTCTCTAAACACGTGTTCTCTAATTACACTGAACATGTATACGTTCTCTAAACACGTGTTCTCTAATTACACTAAACATGTATGCGTTCTCTAAACACGTGTTCTCTAATTACACTGAACATGTATGCGTTCTCTAAACACGTGTTCTCTAATTACACTGAACATGTATACGTTCTCTAAACACGTGTTCTCTAATTACACTAAACATGTATGCGTTCTCTAAACACGTGTTCTCTAATTACACTGAACCTGTATGCGTTCTCTAAACACGTGTTCTCTAATTACACTGAACATGTATGCGTTCTATAAACACGTGTTATCTAATTACACTAAACATGTATGCGTTCTCTAAACACGTGTTCTCTAATTACACTAAACCTGCATTCGTTCTCTAAACACGTGTTCTCTAATTACATTGAAGCTGTATGCGTTCTCTAAACACATGTTCACTAATTACACTGAAACTGTATGCGTTCTCTGAACACGTGTTCTCTAATTATACTAAACCTGTATGCGTTCTCTAAACACCGTGTTCTCTAATTACACTGAACATGTATGCGTTCTCTAAACACGTGTTCTCTAATTACATTGAACCTGTATGCGTTCTCTAAACACGTGTTCTCTAATTACATTTAAGCTGCATGCGTTCTCTAAACACATGTTCTCTAATTGTGACTGAACCTGTATGCGTTCTCTAAACACATGTTCTCTAATTATGACTAAACCTGTGTGTGTTCTCTAAACACGTGTTCTCTAATTATGACTAAACCTGTGTACGTTCTCCAAACACGTTCTCTAATTATTTTGTATTTTGTTCGACATTGCTTGTTGATTTTTAATATAATTTTGCAAACTAAAACGACATATATTGCACAACAAAATAATATTCGTTCGATGAAATAGTGCACAAACGCATTCATAGTACGTATCTTGCCTATGTGTATTCAACTTATACATTATTTCATAGAATGACTTCTCTATTCTGTGAGTGTTCACGACCAAAGAATACCCAAATTTGTCCGGGTTATTTTGTGAAGTTAATTCATCATTAAACATAATTTTAAAGCAGCGTGATCTTCGTTGAACGTCGCACCATGATGCATAACACTACTCCAGTCTAACATCAAGTGAACCTCGGTATTGATCACCACAAGTCAGTCTTCGTCCATGGTTTTTATCCCAAACGATTGTCTTTTCACAAAAGCTATTATTTTGCGGCACACGACGAATTGTCACGTCTGATTAGCAATTATGATAATAATCACGTAAAGGTAACACGAGAAAGGTAACACGAGACATTGAACAAACGAGACGCAAACATTACTATATACATGTTTAAATCAGTGAATGGAACGCATAACCCAATACATGCAGCTAAGAAATGAAATAATGTAGCGTTTATAAAAGAAGATAGCATTATAATGCAGTTTCCGTGTGACGAGCCGTCAATATATCACATAGCGTTACATACCAGTGTGTGTTGTCACACAACTCACACAGAATTAGCAGTAATATGTACATTTCAGTCATGGAACTCGACGTCAGTATAGCGCCCTGTTTGTGTACCTTTTGGAAAACACTAGCCAAACAGTCTATACGTATCGACAACAAACAACAACGCTAAAATTAAAGTGAGGACAAGCACAAGTGACTTTTTTGAATATATCCCGTGATTCAAGCCGAATAATACACTAAATGTACTTACCATTGTATATATATAAGTATGTAGTAATGAGGACGGAGGAAAACAGCAGTTCACGGCATACGAAGGACGATTTAAGAATATCACTGCAGTGGCAGTGCGTCTGTTTGTTATATACAGTATAATCCGGTCATATGGACATTGCGCATGCGTGGACACACCTGGTGAATGAACACAGAGTTGGGTAATGATATTACAAGGTCAAATGGTTTAAAAAACCTTGTAAATCATTATACGCGCCACCACGCTCTATATATTTATACGATAATACGCTTCTAGAAGAGCAGACTGTGTTATTACGATACAATTCCAATTTGTTCGATTTAAAATGAAGGTTTTATTTTCTATTTATTGCAATATAATATATATTTAGTTTTACTACTTGAGGGCAGTATGACTACCCATAATTCACAGCGGGGATTTATATATATCGTGATATGGATTGGCGAGAATTGGATGGCCAAATGTTGCTATGGTATTTTAAAGAAGTTTTCCATGTCGACTTATTTACACCAGAAGGAAGGATCTTTGCGATGTTCCTTTAGAGTGAAAGTTACAAAGCAGTGCTTCGTGGATCATTTAGCTAGGCTTGTTAATGCTTTTATGATTAATAATGCAGATATTTTCAATGATTCCCATTTTAAATAGAGTAACTGTGTCCAATAGATTATGGACTTATTTGTATTACTGGTATTGTAAAGTTTTGCTTCTGGTTTATTTTATTTCAGTTATATTTATAATGTTAGTATTTGTATTGTTTTTATCTCACCTGTCAGTAGCTACCTCAGTAGTGCGCTAATAAATAAAGAAAAATAAAATAAAATGTACGACGGGGTTATGATACGGGGAGATATAGATGAAATCAACATGAGGACAGTGTTCTTGTTTTATGATGTACGATGGGGTGTGATTCGGAATATAAAGATGAAATTAACACCATGATTAAAGTGTTCTTGTTCATCATTTTGCGATGTAAGGGTAAAGATACAAATTGAATTTTTGTTTTATGGTGTACGAGGAGCTGTGATAGGGGTTATACTGTTGCAATCAACAGCTATTTGTGTTGATGGATTATTTCCAAATTTGCACGTCTACGTATCATGATAGGTGACGTCTTTCCTGTTTCTTGTTTACTTTAAACGAAGTTATATATTGGTGTTGTTATTGGATAGCCCGTTCGATCATTCGTTCTCTCTCTCATTCACTCACTTAGTCGAGAGAACAATATCGTAAATTCACAATGATAGTAGTGATACAGTAAGGCGGCTATTCCAATTACTGTGTGCCCTGACTCTCAGGGTTGATATAAGAGCATTTACCTTTGTGTGCAATTGTATGGTTTACGAGGGATGATAACAGTGTGTTTTGTTTTGCCTTTGTGTTTACTACGTCAGGGATCGGCTGACTTATAGTCTATCTGCGTCACGGTCGCAACGATACCTCCATTCTTCTCAACCCAACGTCACACCAAGACGTCAAATGACAGATATTCTGTTAACATAACAGCGATATTCTACGCCGGGCCCCAAATGGCCGACATTTCCAAACATATTTCACCACACGCATACTCAACGATCATTGTGCCAGCCGAATGTTTAGTAATAAACAATGGTTGAAACACACGAAAACGAAAAATCGTGAAAGTCTTTCCGGATTGTTCACTTAAGATGTCAAAGTGTAAGGTGAAATAATGTAACAAAGGTTGGATTATACGACCTGTTATTGAACGGGCAAAATCTTCCACCGATCTCTGTAAAAAAGAAATAATTTGCCAGTGTAATGGTCTTGGTAGCAGTGTATTTGTGTGTTCTCTTGATTCACTGTCTAGTATTCTAGCATTTATTTGGATGATCTCACGGTTGCTTTAATGGAAAATAAATTTATGGACAATTTGAGCCGAAGACATGTGTGTAATAGCGCCCTCTATTAAAGATTTGCGCAAACTTTTACATATTTGTAAGATATACGGAGATAAGCATACCATTATCTATAACTCAAAGAAGTATAAATGTATTTACTTCTATTGACACAATTGCATGAAAATTTGCCCATCATTGCATTTATTTAATAATAATGTTGACCAATTTAATTAGCTGGAACATAAAATAACTGGTGACCTGCGAACTTGAATGCGGACAGGGATTGTCAGAAACGTGTGCTCACTGTGACCGTGAATTCAAACTTTTGTTTTTGTAAACATCTGTTCGAGTTTGTATTCCTGCCAGTAATGGTGTACATATATAAAATCGACCCGGATTCCTCAGTAGTAGTAATAGCACTTTTCGTAAACTGCTGGGGTACGACCGTGACTGTTATGCAATCACTTTGTTCATTGAAAACCGTACATTTACAATTACCGGTTTATAAACGAAGCTAATTATGCTTTTATGGATCGTCGTCGAACATCAATCAATACGCATGTTTGTGCCATGTTCAATATTGATGTCAGATGGAAGTCTGATTCAGTACAGTATTGGAACAAGAGTCTACAGTAATGATAGTTTTAATATCCCTACCACTTTACAGTCTGTTATTTAATGTACTTTTGGGTTTCCGTCTTTACGTCACAAACAGTGAAATAACTGTAACAAAAGTTCGATTGTACCACCTGTAATTGTACGAACTATATTACGTTACAAACAGTAAAATAAATGTTACAACGGCTGGAGCGTACCACCTGTAATCCTACGAGCTATATTACGTCACAATGAAATAACTGTTACAACGGTTGGAGTGTACCACCTACAATCCCACGAGTTAAATTACTTCTAGGTGAAATAACTGTCACAAAGCTATGATTGTTCCACTTGTAATCCCACGAGCTATATTACGTCACAGTGAAATAACTGTTACAACGGTTGGAGTGTACCACCTGTAATTGCACGAGCTATATTACGTCACAGTGAAATAACTGTTACAAAGGCTGGAGTGTACCACCTGTAATCCCACGAGCTATATTACATCACAATGAACTAACTGTTACAAAGGTTGGAGTGTACCACCTGTAATCCCACGAGCTATATTACATCATAACGAACTAACTGTTACAAAGGTTGGAGTGTACCACCTGTAATTGCACGAGCTATATTACATCACAATGAACTAACTGTTACAAAGGTTGGAGTGTACCACCTGTAATCCCACGAGCTATATTACATCACAATGAACTAACTGTTACAAAGGTTGGAGTGCACCACCTGTAATTACATGAGCTATTTTACATCACAATGAACTAACTGTTACAAAGGTTGGAGTGTACCACCTGTAATTACACGAGCTATATTACGTCACAGTGAAAAAAACTGTTACAAAGGTTGGAGTGTACCACCTGTAATCCCACGAGCTATATTACATCACAATGAACTAACTGTTACAAAGGTTGGAGTGTACCACCTGTAATCCCACGAGCTATATTACATCACAATTAACTAACTGTTACAAAGGTTGGAGTGTACCACATGTAATCCCACGAGCTATATTACATCACAATGAACTAACTGTTACAAAGGTTGGAGTGTACCACCTGTAATCCCACGAGCTATATTACGTCACAATGAACTAACTGTTACAAAGGTTGGAGTGTACCACCTGTAATTACAGGAGCTATATTACGTCACAGTGAAATAAATGTTACAAAGGTTGGAGTGTATCACCTGTAATCCAACGAGCTATATTACATCACAATGAACTAACTGTTACAAAGGTTGGAGTGTACCACCTGTAATCCCACGAGCTGTATTACATGACAATGAACTAACTGTTACAAAGGTTGGAGTGTACCACCTGTAATTACACGAGCTATATTACGTCACAGTGAAAAAACTGTTACAAAAGTTGGAGTGTACCACCTGTAATCCCACGAGCTATATTACATCACAATGAACTAACTGTTACAAAGGTTGGATTGTACCATCTGTAATTACACGAGCTATATTACGTCACGGTGAAATAACTGTTACAAAGGTTGGAGTGTACCACCTGTAATTACACGAGCTATATTACGTCACGGTGAAATAACTGTTACAAAGGTTGGAGTGTACCACCTGTAATCCCACGAGCTATATTACATCACAATGAACAAACTGTTACAAAGGTTGGAGTGTACCACCTGTAATTACATGAGCGTTATTACATCACAATGAACTAACTGTTACAAAGGTTGGAGTGTACCACATGTAATTACATGAGCTATATTACATCACAATGAACTAACTATTACAAAGGTTGGAGTGTACCACCTGTAATTACACGAGCTATATTACGTCACGGTGAAATAACTGTTACAAATGTTGGAGTGTACCACCTGTAATTGCACGAGCTATATTACATCACAATGAACTAACTGTTACAAAGGTTGGAGTGTACCACCTGTAATTACATGAGCTATATTACATCACAATGAACTAACTGTTACAAAGGTTGGAGTGTACCACATGTAATTACACGAGCTATATTACGTCATGGTGAAATAACTGTTACAAAGGTTGGAGTGTACCACCTGTAATTGCACGAGCTATATTACATCACAATCAACTAACTGTTACAAAGGTTGGAGTGTACCACCTGTAATAGCACCAGCTATATTACGTCACAATGAAATAACTGTTACAACGGCTGGAGTGTACCACCTGTAATAGCACCAGCTATATTACGTCACAATGAACTAACTGTTACAAAGGTTGGAGTGTACCACCTGTAATTACATGAGCTATATTACATCACAATGAACTAACTGTTACAAAGGTTGGAGTGTACCACCTGTAATTACATGAGCTATATTACATCACAATGAACTAACTGTTACAAAGGTTGGAGTGTACCACCTGTAATTACACGAGCTATATTACGTCATGGTGAAATAACTGTTACAAAGGTTGGAGTGTACCACCTGTAATTGCACGAGCTATATTACATCACAATCAACTAACTGTTACAAAGGTTCGAGTGTACCACCTGTAATAGCACCAGCTATATTACATCACAATGAACTAACTGTTACAACGGCTGGAGTGTACCACCTGTAATAGCACCAGCTATATTACGTCACAATGAACTAACTGTTACAAAGGTTGGAGTGTACCACCTGTAATTACAGAGCTATAT